TTCAAATCTCATTTGGTGCACTTTGGATATTTTTTATGTTTATTTGTTATTAACTTTATTTCTATTTTTAATTGTTTTGAAAATCACAAAAATCATATTTTTTTTAATTATTTAAATAGTATTTTCATTTTCCTATATTTAGTATATTTTAAAAAAAAATTTATTAAAATCATTATTTTATGTAAAAAAAGTTAAAAATTAAATAAAATCTTTTCAAATCAAATTCTTGTCAAATCAAATCTTGCAACGGGTTACTAAACCATCTAGATTTATAGTCTTGCTCACCAAGACTTAAATCAATTCTCAATCAATTTTCAATCTTCAAAATTGTGTAAAAAATATACCAATTTCATTTAATTTTTAACTTAATGCTCACCTATAAATAGCCCTCTACTTTCTAAGTTTAGAAAAGGAAGAATAATCTTATCTCTCTCACTTTTTTCTATGTTTTTTTTTCTTTTGATTTATTTTAGGGTTGTCTTAAACAGACAACCATGTTGTTGTCTTTAACAAACAACGAATAATTACCAACACTTTCTCAAGAATTGTTCATGAAATTCACGGTTATACGATCAACAATCATCCACGAAAATTCATAAATTTCCAATTTCACACTTCTACACTTTTCAAACTTTTTTTCTTTGCTTTTTTACATTTTTTAAAGATAATTTGGGCCGATGATTGCATATGAGCCCCCCCTCCCCCCCCCCCCCCCCCCCCCCCCCCCCCCCCCCCCCCCTTTGTTTTTTTTTTTAAACTTTGTTTTCAAACCCTGTGATTTTACCTTTTTGGCCAATGATAAAATCTTTTATATGAGGCCAACCTTTATTTTCAATTTTATTTTTCACTAAAAATTAAACTTTTTTTCCTTGTGATTTTATTTGCTTATAAATTTTTTTTTGTGTTTCCTTTTTAACACAATATATGATATTATGTGACAATAAGACAATAATCCCAATAAAACCTAAAAACCTCATTCTTTTCAAACCTGAAGACTAAATGGGTCCCTTGAGTACAAGGGAGGTAAAGGGCGCCTAACACCTTCCATTTGCCTAATTTACCTACTTATCCAGATATCTCTTATTTTTTGGGTTTCCCATTTCCTTGTCCTTTCATTGGGGTAAAACAAGTAGTGGGTGTCGACTCTCATGTTTAAACATGAATTTTTTAAAGTTGCTAGCTACACAACACTTTAGGGGGAGTATGATTGTCCATCATGTGATTCTTTAGTTTGTTCTTGTAGTTGGTTTACAGGAATATTTCAAAGGATGTTCTAACATCCTTTCTGTTTTTTGTCTTGATGTTGTGTCTTGTGATCTGAGTTGTGTCTTGTGCTCTGATTTATCCAGAATTGAAGTTTGCTTTTGTGAGTTTTTCACTCGGGAACTATGTTTAAGGGGGAGTATTGTGTATCTTCTTCCTCATGTAGAATTGAAGTTTACATGCTTAGCATGTAGGTTGTGTTTGTGTAATTGTTGTATCTTGAATCTTTGATACACGTTCTATGCAGTTTGGCTTGTGGTATTATTCCTCTCTGGTATTACTGTTGTATCTTGAATCTTTGATACATGTTCTGTGTAGTTTGACTTGTGGTATTATTCCTCTGTGGTCTTATTCTTTTGTGGTGTTATTCGTCTCTCTAAGAGTATTTGGATTTTTGGTTATTTTAGCCAAAATTTACCAAAGGGGAAGATTGTCAGTTCCATAGTTTTAGGATTGGCAACTTTTGCTAAAACATGGTTCTTGACAGATGTCAAGCAAGATATTGTGACATCTTGTTCTGTTATGCAGCAGGCAGGCACTGCTGTATTTAAATCTTGACAAATTTAATTGGATTCTGTGATATTTCTTTGGATATATCTCAGTAAATTTCGTAGGTCAAGAATATTTGTTTTGGAACAATTTTTATATCTCCAATTGTATATTAGTTACGAAATTGGGCCTTGAGACAATTTAAGAAACTTTGTATTATTTGTTCCAAGATTGAAGGAGATTTACTACACAATTGGTGCATCACTCAGCTTGTGGATCAAGAAACTTCTGGACTCGGAATTCAAAGCTCGTGGACCGTGGAGGTGTATTTAAAGGGAAATTCTAACCTTATGTAATTTAACTTTTCATGAATTGGAAAAATTAGGGGATGTGTTAGAGTCTTAGATTTTGAGAATCTCTTGTGTAGTTTGTAAGTCACCCATGTATCTTTTGATACAATGCGGTAGACTGATTGTTACTTGACAGTTTATCAAGTTATTATTCTCACTCTTGAAGCTTTTAAACAAGAGAGTTTTAGTTTTATATTTAAAGTGTAATCTTCTAAATTGGGTTGTTCTTGATACAGCCATTGGGATTGGGATGGTTAGATATTCCTGAGGTGATTTAGGAAGTGAGATGGCGATTTCTCATATCTAGGAGGTGCCTTGGTATAAGTTGCATTGGGTAGGAAATAGGCGAGAAGTTGTAAATTGAGAATGTTTAGGCTTTGAACTAATACTGCTAATAGTGGACTTACTTTCTGACTTGGTAGCCCCCAGAATAGGTTATGTTGCACCAAATTGGATTAACAATTCTTTGTGTTATTTATCATTCTGCAGTTTTATTTTCAGTATCAGCTATAGCTTGATGAGTTTGGTTTATTACCAGATGTTGTAACATTTATCTTGACATCGTTCTGATGTTGAGATATCAGTGTGAATATGTGTTTCCCGTACCAGAGAAATTTCAATTACATTTGATACAACCAATCTAATGAACAACATTAATGTAATTCTCATGGTAAACTTGTTCATCATCTTCAAGAATTTGATCTTCAACTTTAATTCATCCGCTCTAATTATGGCTTCATTAAACTTGGCCTTGATCTTCAACTTTAATTCATCCTCTCTAATTATGACTTCATTAAACTTTGTATTTTCTTGGTTTAACTTTTGGTGTATTGAAGTTATTGCTTCCTTGCCTCTTTGAACCATCTCTTCATCATATTAGACGAAATGACTACACCCTTATACCCTTGTATTTAGAAATAGAGAAGAAGAATGAGGGATTTTCTAGAAATCACAAAATAATATTGTTCACGTATATTACAAATCAAACTAATATCTTATACATCCCACAACCAAAAAAACAACGACCTGAGTTTAAATCTGTCTAAGTCGTCATCAATGAAGATCGAAGACCAAATTTACATTCATCATTGGAAGAGCAAGAAAAAGAACGATTAGTTAATGTTGAATATTGAGACATCGTGTTGAGTCCTACAAAGTGAAAACTGTTGCAATTTCTTCGATAATAAAACCAATTTCTAAGGTTTTCTAAGTGTTACAAATGGGAACGAAGGTGAATGATGGCTATGATTATGTGTTGAGCGATGATGGATAAATGAAATTAATAAATTTCATTTCATAATTAAAATGTTTTTAAACTCTATTGTTTAATTTGAAATGTTTTTAAATAATATGACAAAAGTAATTTTAAACTTGGTCAAACTTTCTTTTACCATGTCATAAGTGAAACTCCCACGTAGCAAATATGAGAGGGACACAAAAATCTCAAAAATATTTAAAAGAAGTGATCTAATATCTAGTTTTTTTCAAAAAAATTATTTCATATGTCTCATATTATAAGAGAAAATTATTTTTTAGACTCATTAAATAATTAATATATATGATCTATATGGAGACTATATATATTAATTATTCAGTAAATCTAAAAAGTGAATTTTTTTTATATTATAATATGGGACGGAGGGAGTATTAAATTAAAAAAAAAAACATAAAAAGAGAAACCAAATATGTATTTAAACCTTCACATTATATCAAATAAATTTAGGATTAAATAAGTTTTTGTTCCATAAGTTTTTGGTCTCTCTAAATATTTTAAATTTAGTTTTTAGTCTCTCTAAAATATTCCTTTAAAGAATGATCTTTCTAAAAAATTAAATTTTAACTTTTGGTCCCTCCTGCAGTGTAAAAGTGGTTTTTATAACTTAGCAACAGTTTCAGCAACGGTTTTAACGACGATTTTAACGAAGACTTTTATTTAACGACAGAATTATAGACTATTTTAGTTACAATTTTGTGAAGAGAAGTCAATAGTTAAAATTAAATTTTTTAGAATGATCATTCTTTAAAAAAAAAATTTATAGAGACTAAAAATAAAATTAAAAATATTTAGAAGAACTAAAAAAAAAACCTTATTTACGGGCAGATATCATTAATTCTGTTTCAAAAGTTGTCATATTTAAGGTTTCTCGAAAAGTTACTCAAGGAGGGATTCTCGAGAGATAAACTTCAAGAAACAAAAAAGAAAAACTTCATAAAATTTATTGTTCTAAAAATTTCAAATTATTATTCTCATCATTTTTCCAAATGTATAATTTATTCTCTATCCATCCAATAGAAGAGTAGTTTGTCACCTATGGAAAGAAAATTGGTATTACTGTTCACTAGAGCATTAATATCGCATATTAAGACATACATAAATGATATTTTTATGTTTTTCACAATTTTCAAGATAATAATTATGGAGTATTGTTAGTTGAGTTGAACAGTATAACAATAAATATTAGCATTGAGATTCTAAAACATTAAATACTTTAGAAAAAATAGTTTAGTAGTATGAGTATAAATATCATTATGTACCTGCCATTCAATAATAACGCCAAAAAAATACTTGAAGGGAATAAGAAAACGAAGATTCAACAACCAAAACCATAGACTAAAATGTTTCCAATTCCAGGAAATGTATCCTGTAGCATGGTAGTGCAGCTTCTAAAAATTATTCCTTACTGCAATTATTTCAATATCTCTAGCTTATATAATTGCAATAGTAGTACTAGTGAATGAGCATAAAAGAGAATGACCTGGTATATAACACAAGATTAGATAACAAATTTCAATGGCAAAAACAAACTTTGAACAGTTGCCATTAAATTCTATAAACAGAAGCAATGGAGCCTTGTGAAATCACACTCAATGGCATTTTCAAGTTTCGCACTAGTCCGATCAATGTATCTCGCCGCTCCTGCTTCTGCTACTGTTCAAAGAAACTGAACTCTGACTTGAAAGATGCGCATCAGACAGCGTGACAGACCCGCCCTGTGAGAAAATTAAACCGACAGAAGTTCCAGAAGAATGCATTCTGGATGAAATTGATGATTCCTTTTTGGGCCCTGGCTTCAGTTCAGGCCGAAACTCTGAAGGTGTTGTTGAAGGAACCACCAGGTTAGACAGTAAAGACGCGACTGGGTAGGGAGCTACTGGAACATCGATAAGAGAAGATGCTGATGGACTGTATCTCATTGACCCCACAGCCACGGGATGATCAAACTTGCATGTCGAGCCAAACTTGCAGTGCCCATTTTGTAAATAAAATGAACAAGGCTGTACACCCTGTTTTCTAGAAAGTTAATCAATTACGAAAAAGTCCCAAAAGAATACACAGATTAAGTGCTAACGAACATTAGAATGCGAACAAGAAAAATTAAACGTAATAACAAGTGTCAGTATTGGTTTCAGACACCGACATTGACACGTAAACACCTTTTTTCGGAGGTATTAGTGCTAGAGGTATTAGTGCTACAGATGTTTTCAGTCTATTAGATTGAGTTTAAAACAGTCACAAGCTAGTTAATTTTATTTTTTAACACATACAAATTTTGAATTACAAACACTTAGAATGTCACAAGTATTATCATGTTAAAATTTAAAAGGAAATAGATTGAATAGCAGGTTTTACATTAAGACCGTTACATATATATATTCCAATCATGTGCATTCATCCAATAACTTGAGCTTAGGAGAGTTGGCTCTTGACATGGTATCATGGCTTCAAATCAATGACAAAGTGACCATAAGATTGATTCATGCATCCCCCATTTTTTGGAACACAGACAAATACTGTCTCGGACCCAAGCTTTTGTGTGAGGGAGCAGGATAGATACAGAAAGCCAATCATGTTCCGTCAAGGAATCAAGCGAGGTTGTCAATATCGAGATCCTTCCTAGGATCAATTGGGGAGAGAGAAAAAATTTAATTGTGTGATCATATATCATGATCAATAATAAAAATACATATATTGATATCGTTAAAATCACCTCTTTAACATTTATTTTAACTAGTTAAAGATATAATCATATCATATATACTACATTCAAAACTTAAGTTGAAGCTATATTTACAGAAGACATGGATTATCCACACGTTAATATGGATGATATTAGAAATTATAAGTTCGAGCAGCATAAATTTAGCCGAAATGAAAGAAAGCTAAACAATCAAATCAACAAAGAATCAAATTGGGATATCATTCATACCGGGCGTAAAGGAAGACCAACGGGGCTAAGAACTGGCCGTGCAGCAACGAGGTCCTGTGGATGATGATATCTACAAGCCAATCCAAATTTACAGTCCCCGTTTCTGAGAAAGTATTGGCAGAGCGGTTCACCGGGTCTTTCAGGAAATATTTTCTCCTGCAGACTGCTTCCTGCAGGACCGGGAGAAGAGGGCAAAGGAGTGTAAGGTCTAGCAAAAGCTGATGTTGAAGACGACAACTGGGTCACTCCATATAGAGAAGTAGCCCCGACAGCAGGTTGCGCACCAGGAGATAACACGGGACTTACTGGAGCCTGCACTAATTTAAATTCATCACAATGTTGCAACTGCTAATGCAAACTGGCAAAGAAAAAAACATTTCACCGTATTTCAAATCACATATAATGTGCCTCTCACCGAATAAGGACTCCATCCAGGAAACGGAACAACCCCTGGGGAAAGAAGTACAGGACCATAAGCCCCCTGTACATATGAACCGGGTAACACCGGAGGCCTGGCCACTCTCAAGCTTGTGGAAGCTCCTCCATACTGTTCGGGCAGAGGAACAGTTGGAGATTGCACCTGTTGATAAAATTGAGGTGCAGAAGCTGGCAATGACGTGCCTGCGGGTTGAGGATGGTGGAATTTACAAGTTACGCCAAATTTGCACTGCCCCGTTTTCAAATAATAGGAGCACTCATTCTCACCCTGTTTAAACAAATGCATGATATAGTCATTAGCAGAATTATCTGTATATTACATAAGAGAGAAAAATGAGGAGCCATACCGGACGTAATGGGTATCCATAAATATTTAGTGGAGCTTGGCTTAAATATCCCCCTCCATTTTTGGGATGGTGGAATTTACAGGATGCGCCAAATTTACAGGTTCCAGTTTTTAAATAATACTGCTCATAAGAAGAAAGTCACAATTAGTACAATATTTATTAAATAGTAAATATAAGTAGTAATTATTTAAGTACATCTAAAATTATATTTGTAGAGACATTTGATATAGTGAGGCAGGGTTTCCAGCCCACAATTCCCTACTTGTCAGCACTCTGCGTGTGAGTGTTTCACAGCTGGACTCTTTCAAACTAGAGTTTTCAATGGCAGATGTCAGTCCATGGCAGAGACCCAAAATCAAGACATACCGGACACTCTGCGCGCCGCTATAGCATATTATGGTGGAAAAACCCACAATATCGGCCGATATTTACCAATACGGTGAGCCTAAAACCCACCGTGTATATCCACCATTGCGCCGCCATAGCCGATATTTGATAACACACCAAACCGGGAAAAAAACCAGTGTTCTCATTGGTGGATGACGGTGTTCCCGATGGTAAATGGCGGAGAGCCAAAATCCAGTCATACCGGCCACTTCACGGCGCCGCGATAATGGATTATGGTGGAAAAACCCGCAATATCGACTGCAGCGAGCTCAAAAATCGCCATGTATATCCTCCATTGCGCCGCCATGGCCAATATTTGATAACACTGTGAAGCAAAAAAAAACAATTTAAAAAAACATACCTGACACGGAGGTTCCCCAAGCCGTTCTGGGTAGTCCCCTGTAGCTCTAACGGCAGCAGCAACCTGAACAACATTTGACTCAATTGATTAAGGTATTACTTAATGGGATATTGCATGAACCTTTCAATGAAACTCATTGGTAACACAAATCATTCAGAAACAACACAAAAAACAACATCCACAACTAAAACAAACAGCAACAAAACACTTGCATGTAATTCCAACATAATGCAGACATCTCAAAATGCTAAAAACCGAAAACTGTTACCGCAGCACGATCACGCGGGTGATTGAAACGGCACCTGCCACCATAGCCACAAAACCCAGTTCTCATATAATAAGCACAATTAGGCACACCGTGTCTCTCCGGGTAAGATTCACCACCACCACTACCACCAAGCGTTAATTGCCACATCGACTCTGCACATGCATCACCAAAATCAAAACCCTAATTACAAACCACAAACAAAAACAAAAACAAAATCCCTAACCTAAACCTTAACCTAACATAACATAACATAACATAACATAACATAACATTAACAAACAGAAATAGAAACAAAAACAACCTCCGAGAGCAGCTTCAGCGGTCGGTGAACGCCATTCATGTTGACTAAGCGGGTTGGATCCATTTCTAGTGGGGCTCCGACCGTACAAGTCCATTTGTCCTGTACAGAAACTTTACAAGAAAGAAAAACCGAAGTTGTCTACTAGACTGATCTAGAATGTTCCGGAAGATCGGCGAGCTTAGCTCGTCTTACTTCACAGAAATGGGTTTTTGTTCTCACACGTTCCTTGTGTTGTTGTTCGTTCGTGTGTTTATGTTTGTGTCTTTCTAGTTTTTTTTTTCACACTCTCTCTCTGGAACTGTACGGTCACTGATGATGTGTTGGTTTTTTCAGCTCAATTTTCTTTCTTTCTCAGTTTTTAATTTCAGTATTATTAATGTTTTTTCAATTTTATTTCTCAGTACTAGTACGTACTCTATGAGGTTTAGTTGCGTGCGCGCGCCAAATAGCAGAAATGTTGTGTTTCGCGGAATATTATCGCACCTCATCTTTAGCTTCTAACGGAAAAGTTAGTTCTTCATTCTTTCACTAGTTTCACCAACTACTCAGATCTTAGCCGTGGAAAATAGTTTAATAGTAGCATCAATTAATAGATGTATAATGGGCTATTTATTTCATACAATGAAATAATAATATGAAATCTAGTACAAAATTGTTTCAGTTGATGAAAAATTGAGTAATATATCTAAAGATTGTGATTCAACATTTTTTAATAAATAAATAACTCGGATGAATTACCGGAGACCAATTTGTTTCATATATATATATATATATATATATATATATATAGGCCGGAACTCATTTCGATAAAAATATATAAAGTGAGTAGTGACCGACACTTAGTACTTGGGAAAATGACGAGATTGTCCTTTGCCTTCCAACTTCTTTTGTTTGGTAGGTTGGGGTTAATATTTAATGATATACGGATATATGAATGCTATAATTGAGTCTTACATGTGTTGGCATCAAACCAATGCGAATTTAAATGGAAATGTTTTTAAATGCGAGACTATTATTTTTTTGGTTGGGAAAGTCAAAGTATATTAATCACAGTATGACACTACTAAGAGTGTAAAAAAAAATGCTTAAAGTAAGAAAAATTATTACACGGAAGTTTCCATGGTTGACACGTTATGGATCATAGCATAGGCTAAACACTAGAAATCCAAAATTACAATAAGAAAGATCCTAGTAACTTACTAGTACTACTACAACTTTTACAGAAAATTTAAGCAATATTAGATTGATTAATGTTACAATTGATCACGACTTTCAAGGTATTTTTAGATTTCATTGGCACGCCTTTTTTTTTTATGATATTATTTAAATACCTAATATATTATTTTTATCTTTTTTATTTTTTATTTTCTTCATTTCATATATTTATCACATTTAAAAATTACACTTGACATATTTTTATATTTAAAATTTTCATATATCTATCTTTTTTCTGATTTGTTATGCTTTATTAAATTTTCATGTAGTGTAGGGACAGATGCAAAATTTACAAATTTAAAAAAATATATATATATATATATATATTAAAGTTGATTCTTTATAATTTTTTAAAAATTTTCATTTTAAAAATAGATGGATCTTCATCGCTTTACACTAAATTTTCTGCATAAGAGTTGACCACGTATTTTTCAGTTGAAATTTTGTGTCTGCGTGGTTGTTTATTGATGATTTTGATAACAATTACGAGTTTATAAAGCAAGTGAGATTAACTCAAAAAATCTCCTAAGCAATTTGTGCAAATAATTTGTGTGAACACACATGCGTGTGAATTGAATGCAGTTGTCGTTTGGACGATAGCGCGTAAAAACAAACATTAAATGAAAATGACAAGATAAATGCACTCAATAACATTAAACAAGAGTGAAAATGAAAATAAGAAAAAGCAAATGTTTCATTTAAGGAAACAAGAAAATAATGATAAAGTTGGACGCAAACACATATTATTTCTTACACATTGTTTCGCTCTTTGACCCGGATACTCCAGTAGTATGGAGAGTATGTATGAAATTTCGTGATCCTTATTACAATGTATGAGTCTGCTATTTATTTTATTTACCGAATAACCATCGACGATGGTTCCACCCACTATGAAACTATTGTGTTTCACTCTGTTTGATCTTTAGGTTCCATTAGTGTGCCTACGTGTCACCCACGATTCTCTCTGTTTACAACTCATGTTGAGTTATAACCGCTTCAAACTTCCACTCTGATAATAAATACTCAACATGTTGTCGACGTTGCTTACAAAGGACTTTTAACTTGTGAAAATACTAAATTTTTAACCTTTCGTGGTTCAGCCGACTGGTATATTTGTTGTAGTGAAGGTTTTGTCGACTGTCGTTTTTGAGATTTTTGACATGTTTCCAGATGATCTTAATTTTGTGGATCCGATCTTGAGATTACTCAAAACCATGTTTTCCTTCATTGACCCCTTGATTGATATTTGTCGACGCTTCGTCATTAATTCTCTTAAAACACTTAATTAATATCTTGTAATAGGAAATGTCTTTTCATTTTGACATTCTTTGTTGACTTTCTTCTAGCTGAAAATCTAAGTGTAACATGTGTCCCCAAAAAAATGTCACCTTCGACCAACATATGAGGGGAGAAAGGTGGTATGTTTTGTAATCACTTTGTCACTGTTGTGGAATCTTGTTTTGCAGGTAACAAATGTTGTTTTGATGATGACAACTATAAAGATCAAGAACAGATATTTAACATGATAAAGATGCAACATGTAAAAGAGCTTATAAGATAACATTCAGCATAGTAAAAGATACAACCATTTAGAAAGTCAACCAATATACTTGAGAAGTTAAAGATGCAAGCCATAAGGATCGATAAGGATTTACAAAGTCTTAGTTGATAAAGGATTGACAAAGTTTCAGACATATATAAAGCCTCAGACATCAACAAATTCTTAAATAAAGGCAACCAAATGGATTATATCAAAAGCCTCAGGAGATCTCAAGCAAGGTGTCAATATAATGAATACATCAAACACAATCTTATGGAAGTTACCTCAATTTAATAAGTTAGTGAAACTTTTGTAAAAGCAAAAGTTGCTTCTTTATAGAGGTAGTTGGTTATAAGCACACACACTTAAAAACCTTTTTATAAAAAAATTTTGAAAAGAAAATGCTTTGAAGAAATATATAGAAGTAGTCAAACAAGACTTTAGACAATGCTTTCTTTGGCTTTAGACAACATTTTAAAGCGTTGTCTATTCCAGCACTGTTGTAGGTAAAGACAGTGTTTTGTTAAAAGTAAAAGCACTGTTAAATTCCCCCTTTAGACAACCCTTTTACTTTGAAAGTGCTGCTAAAGGCCCCCCTTTAGCTAGCGCTTTTACTTTTAAAGCGCTGCTAAAGGCCCTTTTTAGGCATCACTTTTACTTTTAAAGCGCTGCTAAAGGCCCCCTTTAGCCAGCGCTTTTACTTTTAAAGCGCTGTTAAAGGCCCCATTTAGCCAGCACTTTTACTATTAAAGCACTGCTAAAGGCCCCCTTTAGCCAGCGCTTTTTCTGAAATAAAAAAAATTAAAAATAAAAAGCCCCTTTAGGCAGCGCTTTTAATGTTAAAGCGATGTCTAAGTCCCCCTTTAGGCAGCGCTTTTTTTTAAAGCGCTGCTAAAGGCCCCTTTTAGCCAGCACTTATTCTGAAACAAATTTTTTTTAAAAAAAAATAGCCCTTTTAGGTAGTGCTTTTACAGTAAAAGCGATGTCTAAAAGGGGCTTTAGACAGCGTTTTTTAAAACGCTGTTCTTATATACAATTTTATATGCACAAATTTTAACCATATTTGCACCAGGTTTTCACCATATTTTGCATCTGTATATACCATTACAAATTTCACTAGATTTTCACTAATATTGGAGCTTCAATCCAATAAAAAATAATACCAAAAGATATTATACATTTGCACCAACGTACTTATATATACTATTACTCTTGTACATATATACTTTTACTAAAAACAACACCAAAACAACACCATTATATAGCATTACAAAATCTACTAATCTCTATTTTCTACATATGCACATATAACCTGAAACAACATCAAAATATCGTAATTCATATCATGATACAAACAAAATATATATAATTTACCACATGACAAACAACAACAAAATTGCAACACTTGAATATACTCAAAATTCTCATCAATTAAAGTAAGATTACAATATACCTTATATAACTTTTGTCTCAATAATGTATTGACACCAATCCTCCTTAAGTTCATCCAACTGAGAACTTGAGTAATAAGCACACTTGAATTCATCAAAGTACTACATAATAATATAACATAGTATGTTTAAGTTAAAACTATTTAATTATATGAGAAATATATGTTAAATATTAAAATAACTTCTAAGTTAGAAGTCCATACCTTAGATGGAATCTATATTCGATCCAAAAGAAAGATTTCTCTCATAAACCTCAACATGTAAAAACCGCAATCTACTTCATTATGCTGCCGAGGATAATACACATGAAAAGAAAATATGGATAAGACCTAAGTTTTATCAAGTATCATCACTATTAATATAATCAAAATTATGATAATTAATTAATATGCCTCTACTATAATACATGTAATGTTGTTGGCTTTACTCTTTGGTACTTGAACACCTCTTTATGCTCGAAAAACTTGTATAATGCTAATAAAACATAAATGCATATTTAGAACAATTCACATAAATAAATAAATATACACATGAATATTTAGAACAATCTCACTTACGTATCAACCATATTCTTCATATCTTTGTATGTACTTGGATCATTGCGTAAAGAATCCAGATAATATACAACTTCTCTGATAGGATTAATCGCAACCTACAACTAATCTCCACTGTAAGATTAAACAAATGTGAGATGAAAACTTTCTACACAACATCAAAATATAAAAAATTATAATAGATGAATTTATAATGAAAATCTAACTCGTTGTCGGTATTAAGCGGTAAAAAGAACAACTTTTCGTTATCTTTATCGGCCATAAAGCGCTCGAGTACATACGCCATGACATCATCTGGTTTATGCAAGATTAACCCTAAGTTGGTAGTGAAAGG